ATGACCTCTGCCTCTGCTTCTAGGTAAAGCCTTAGGCACAGCAGCAGTGGTGCCTGTTCCCTATGAGAAGATGCTGCGGGACCAGTCGGCCGTGGTCGTGCAGGGCCTCCCTGAGGGCGTGGCCTTTAAGCACCCGGAGCACTACGATCTGGCAACCCTGAAGTGGATCCTGGAGAACAAAGCCAGGATTTCCTTCATCATCAGCAGGTGCCGTGGACTGCCCTCTCCTAACGATCCTGGAAAGGCAGACTGGTGGCTTAACTACAGTTACCTGACTGACTGTTCGGGTACCTTTAGAATTTGACCGTTTCTATAGATCAGTATCTGGCATTGCGTTGATTCCGACTCATGGTGACTTCACGGCCAACAGCACAAAGCATGGCCCGGTTGTATGTCATCCTCACAGTACCTGCATGTTCAAGTCCAGCATTGACACTATCGAACCAGTCCAGTCCACGGACGGTCTCCCTTGCTGCCTCAGGCCCCCTCCTGCAACCCCGACCTGCTCCTCCGTGAGTCATCTCCTTTTGATGTACGTGTCCCAGGAAAGCCAGTCGGACGGTGTTCTGTGCGAGCCGTGAGGGCGTCAGTGGCTGGCTGGTGGACATAGCTCTCCAGGCTTTTCTTCCTCAGCTGTCTTAGCCTGGACCCTCCACTAGAACCAGTGCCACACCTTCCCATATCACAGCGACACACCGGCCCGAGTCTGTTCAGGTGCAGACTCACAGACGGGGGTGGGTTCAGATGTTTAATACAGGTTTCCTTCAATCTCCAAAAGTAGAGCGTTCCTATGAAACCTTTCATCCACCGAAGACTTTAACTTAATGGGAAAAATATTCCCAAATACTAAAAATAACTACGCACAAATTAAAAAAACAAATTCACTGCCATCCTGTCAATTCCAACTCATAGGATTCCCATAGGGCAGGGTAGAACTGCCTCTCCGAGCTTCTGAGACTGGAACTCTTTATGGGAGTAGAAAGCCCGTCTTTCTCCTGCGGAGCAGTGATGGTTCCAAACGGCCGGTCTTGTAGCTAGCAACCCACCACATAACCACTAGGCCACCAGGACTCCCTGTTCACACCAAATAACACCTAAGACCTAAAGTGATGTGACACACTCTGGGCACACAGAAAAGGGTGAAAGCCACCGCTGCTTGATGCTCCGACGGCTGAGTGTAATTCTTGGGGCAGGAGCTTGGTGACACTACCTTGCTGCTTGACGTGAGGTGCTGCCTCTTTAAGGGCTTGATGCAAAACAAATAGTGGGCGCTCATTTGCAACCCTGGGCTGGCAGAGGACCACGCCTGTTGTGCAGTAGGATCGCTATGAGGTGGAACAGACAACAACAGTTTTACTTTTAACTGTTTTCTGTGTTTGTTTTTTAAACCAAAGCAAAACTCTTGGGATTTCTTCCGGTTAGCAGGAACAGGTTGGCATGGGTGAGTCAAGAAGCCGTGCTACAAACTTGTGGAGACCTTTAGGAAGCAGAAACACCAATGTGGGACGCGGTTGCTTCCTGGCACCGTCACACCCAGGTCACACCTAGGTCTGCTCTTCTGAAGGCCGTGTCTTCATCTCTGAGCCTTCCCTGAAGGAGCCAGGTGGCGTCATGGTGACACGTTAGTCAGCAGTTCGAAACCAGCTAGCTCCTTGGGAGAAAGACGGGGCCGTCTACCCTTGTGAAGAGTTACAGTCAGCCGCAGCCCTGCCCTGTCGGGTCCCTGAGAGTCGGTATCGGCTCAAGGGCAGTGAGTTGGGTGTTTTGCAGCCCTTCCCTCTTCGACTGACAGCACGACAGCACCACAGTCACGCCGTCCTCCAGGGACTCACAACCCGGTCCTTTTCCGCTTGACTTGCGTGCAGGTCACAAGAAGAAGCCTGGAGGGCAAGGTCAGGAGGTAGTTTCCCGACGGAATGTTCATGCGATCCTGCTACCTT